GTCCTGGTGGTCCCACTTCCCCCTTGGGTCCGGGTGCGCCATCTCGTCCGGGTAGTCCATCTCGTCCTGGTGCTCCATCTCGTCCCGGTAACCCATCTCTACCTGCTGGGCCTGGTACGCCTGGTAGAACTGAACATCCTTTCTTCCTCATCTCCTGAAACTGTAAAACTTCTAGTTACAATTTTACATGCCATTTTCCGAAGAAGTCCTAGAGACGCTCCTTTGATGACTTGTGATTAACGATCACCTCTCCAGGAGATGAAAAATTTGTAACTGTGTAACTGTGATGTATTAAATGAAATATATTTGACCTAATGATAACTACTGAGAAACAAAACTCCCGACAATTGACGAACTTTGGTACAGTTTTGAAAGTATTGCTTGCTACATCCTCATTCGACCAGCCCGTTCGCGATCGATTGTCCTCATTAAATTTTTACCTGAATCAAACCTGTTTTTATACGAATAAACTATTCACATGGCTTTAAGTAACTTACAGCTTCCTTCGGTTCTTCTGTGCCGATCACGACTTGAAAGAACAGGAGGTAAGACAACGCAAAAATCTGCAGAAGATTTTTTTGATCCATCCTTCTTGACGGAGAGTTCAAAATGCCGTGCGTCCTGATATCATTTGTTTTAGAACACTTATTTTTATCCACAATTATAATAACATTTTTTGGTAAACATATCCTCTTATTTTTAGTTTGTTTTCGCTGAAAAATGCAAAATTGGATTATCGGACAGGTCCAGATATTAAAGTTGTTCGTACTTTGGAAAGAAAAGCGTCTGTTGACCATGCAATTAAACATTTGCCATTTTAAAAATAACTTTATTTATTGCCTCAGATCGCGTAGTAAATTCCAACATTTAATTTAATGGTTTAAGTGGATGAAATACTTTCACAAGGGGTGATTTAGTGGAAAAAGATCAAAAGTCTTTACACAAGCCGCATTACCATGCAATTAAACACATGTCGCTACTTTAATTGATTATTGTTATTACTGATTATATCTCGAGTTAAATCTTAAAAATTAGAACCTGAATATCTAAAAACTTTTATTGCATTTTCGATGGTTGCATGATTTTGTGGCAACATACCGAATCTAGTCCTTTTACTCTACTCTTTCCCCTGAAGTGCGTAGTGTAATAAACAGTCTCTGCACTTGCACGTAGCTGCATGATCGTTTCTAAATAAATTTAATTAGCAGACAGACAATAATAAACACTTATGGGCTGAGTGGTAAGTCACTTGGGATTTAATGATGTTATACGATGAATGAACGCATGGGGCGGCACGGCCTAGAGAACAAAATTTGTTTGCGCTGATTAGCTATCTCGGAGATGCTTAGCAAGTACTATTTATCTCCTAGCAGCCACAGAGAGTGAATCACGTGTCAAGAGTTTCATATCCGAGCAATTCTCTTTGCACTGACAGAAATAATTGATGTTTTAGTTCTGTGTGTTGTAAATTGTAAAAGAATACAGTATAGTTCACTCTTAAGCTGGTGAACGGGGGTCTTAATGGGATGATGACTTTTACGGATAACGGTTCAAGTTTTGGTCAATTCACCGCCAACGGTTTTATATCTTTCCATTATCGTCATAATATATTTTTCCACGGTTAATTTTTTTTACGACAAATGGTTAAAATTTGTCATTTTCACGCTTAACGGCTAAAAATCCCATTGAAACCCTTGTGAAAGTGGTCAATATTTACCAGCGCTGATGCTTTAAGGTACATATATATCCACCACTACGTACTCGGCCTCTACGTCAGAAAATAATTTTCAATGATTTGCGGAACTTGTTCAGCTAAGCCTACGAATGTCATGTTTATGATGTTCTTAAAAGATGAGAGATTATGTGTAACCTGTATCAGGGCGCAACCTTGCACATGACAGAATTCAATTTTACTTATAAGAGAGGCGTGTGAGTTTTGTCGAACACACTATTCGTAGGATCCTCAATTATTTTTCGAGCTTTCCGCCTCTAGACCAACGGGAAGACTTGTTCCTTCATGTCAAAAGCATTAGATGTGCGAACGTGCAGGATTTGCGTACCTAATTGCCCCCTCCTGTGAAATTACGGATATGTCGTATCTAACCTTTTCGTCCCAAAATATAGCCTCTGCGCTTTTAATCACGTAACAGATAGGTATCACAATGTATGTAAGAGGGTTATATCAATTCAAAAAGTAGGTTTAGCTGATGCTGAGTTTTTTTCCTCCGCTGGTGCCTTCCTCGGTTATTAAGAGTCGATAGAGCAAGGTGAAGATTGAACATTCACGACTGTTTTGGTTTTTCTCTCGAAATTCGAACTTTGTAATCTAAGAGCCAAGTGAACGAGCGAATACAGCTCTCGTGTTGTGTAATAATCCATTATGCATCTGTTGCACATTGTGTGCAGCGCATTGCTTTGGAACCTTGTTGTATTTGCTTGCGCGGATGGACAATCAACAGTAAGCCTGAAACTCATGATTTCTCAGTTTGTAATTTATTTCGCAATCTCTTAAAGACTTAAGAAAAAATTCTAGTAGTTTCTTAGAGAAGCTAGCGAACGCTACCACAACCCTCCAACTAGGTAGGGACTCAGTCACAATCCTCAGGTGTTTAATTAAAAAAGTTGACGAATGACGCATGTCACGCGTCCCGTGCTAACTTTGCATTTTAATCATTAGGTCTTCTCATAAAGCATAGCTTTTTCTACAGAAGCAAAATTTGAAAAAAAATTTGAGCTGTATTTCTTTCCCCTTATCCTTAATCAAATCAACGCTAAAGGAAGAAAATTGTTTAACCTCGGTTTCAGAAACGATGGATCATTAAAATCTTCTGCAGATCTTTGCCCTGTCTTATCTCCTGTTCTTTCAGCTCGTGATCAGCACACACGAACAAAAGGAAGTTGTAAGTCACTCAGCAGACGTGTAGGGCTCTTCTTTTGATGAGTCAAGCACAACTGTGGGAAACCGAATGATGAAAAAAATGAGAGGGTCGGATTTAGGTATCAATACTATTAAAATCTTAATATGTAATTTCTGAAATTTTAGTTCAGCTGGAAGGATTAATATGTCTGTTGCCATTAATACTTCATAAAAACTAAGCTTGATATATACATCTCACTTACAAAATTGCTAAATCATTCAACTCCTGGAGAAGTGATCGTTAATCACAACCATCAAGGTAGCACCTCTGGGATTTCTACACCAAAAAGCGCGAAAGAAAAGAATATAACGGTTATATTAGGAAAAAACAATTGGAATTTTTCCTTCAGCAAGAATCAGGGAACTCTGTTTAACTCAAGGCCCACCAGGCCCAGGGGGTCGAGATGGATTACCGGGACGGGATGGAGCACCTGGACGGGATGGACTACCGGGACGGGATGGCGCACCCGGACCCAAGGGGGAAGTGGGACCATCAGGGCCATCAGGAAAAAAAAGGAGACGCTGGGACCCAAAGGAGATGGAAACAGTGTTTTTGGAACCACATCAACTCTGAGACTGATAATGGACTAGTGCTGGTATGTATACCACGATAGCAAGTAATCCGCGGTGCTCACTTAAAGTGTAGAGAAAAGGGAAGGGGGATAGTGGTCGTCATCGTAATGATTGAACAAAAAAGCGGAAAGTGATAATTCTGCTGCATCAATGCATTTAATTAAAAGTTTTGAATCTTTTTAAAGGAATGTGCGTTTACCAAGGCTGCCCCAAACACATACCTCTATGTAGTAAACATGGGAAACATTCGCATCGCCTATTGCACAAACTGTTGCATGAGATGGTTTTTCACTTTCAACGACATCGAATGCAGAGCACCCGCTGCCATTGACGCCGTTGTTTACCAGAATAGCAACCTTAACATCCATCGCTCAGCCAATATAGACGGCTACTGCGCTGGAATCGGCAAAGGCCTGGTTTGTGTTGGTTTGCACGTCGGTCAGTGCCATGGTTATGGCTCCTCCAACGCCGCCTACACTGGCTGGAATTCAGTCAGTAGGATCATTATTGAGGAGGTTGAGCCCCCAGTTGCTTAGATTATACGTGCTTATTCCACCTAAGCGCATAGTTCCTGTTTCATCACAACGGTAGTTAATGTTGAATTGTAGGCGGGGATTAATTAGGTCCACTGAAATAGTAGTCTCGATTTCCTGGGTGGAAGTCATGACAACATGTGAAAATAAACCTGCAAAGAGACTTATTTTTTGTCTATCTGCTGTATTTGACCATAAGGGCCCGTTCTCCGCGGTGTAATAATAAGTGGCTGACGTGTTCCTGTAGGCGTCAGTTTGGTTAAACGTGACACCTTCCGGACACAATAAGTGCTTTACATACAGTGCAGTGGAAAGGTCTTATGGGTTTATTACAGCAGGGAAGTCACAAGGAAATCACAAGCGAATTACAAGCAAAGAGAACGCGACTACGCAAAGTAGTCTGGTGCTATATTTTGGAAAATATTTAGTTTGAAACGTAACCTGTATCGGTGCACCCTCACAAATCTTCGTTCAAAAGCTATTCGTGGAGGCCTGGTATAACAAGAATTCAATTTTATTTGTAAGAGGGGCGTTTGAGTTTGGCTCAACATACTATTCGGAGGGCTCTCAATTCTCTTACGTGTTTTCCGACTCTAGACAAACGGGAAGACTTGTTCTTTCATGTAAATAGCTTCAGGTGTGCGAAGGTGCAGGATTTGCGTAATTCATCGCCTCCTTCGGATATGTCTTATCTAACCTTTTCGTCCCAAAAGATAACCTCTGCACTTTTGATCACGTATTAGATAGTTACTGCAATGTATATAAGAAAGTTATATCAAGTTAAAAAGCAGATTTAGCTAATCCTGAGGTATTTTCCTCTGCCTTTCCTGGTTATTAAGAGTCCACAAAGCAAGGTGAAGATTGAACATCAACAACTGTTTTGGTTTTTCTCTCGAAGTTTGATCTTTGTAGTTTAATTGCCAAGTGAACAAGTAAATACAGCTCTCGTGTTTCGTAATAATCCATGATGCATCTGTTGCGTATGGCATTCACCGCCTTGCTGTGGAGCCTTGTTGTATTTGCTTGCACGGATGGGCAATCGACAGTAAGTCTCATGCTTATTGTTTCTTCGTGATTTATTTCGCCAGTTCATTAGGGATTTAAAAAAACTCTAGTAGTTTAATAGAGGAGCTTGTGAATACTACCACAACCCTCCAACTAGGCATTTCACAATCCTTACATACATAAAAATTCACGAATGATGCGCGTCTTCTGTATTTTTCATGAGTCCCGTGCTAACTTTGCATTTGAATCTTTACGTCTTCTCATTAAGCGTGACTTTTTCTACGAAGGAAAACGTTGAAAATAAATTACGAGCTTGATTACCGGTACCTCCCCTGTATCCTTTGATCAACCCTTCAAAAGAAAAGGAAGAAACTTGTTTATCCTCAGTTTTTCTAAGTACTCTCGATTGTCGTACAAAGGGCTGAAAGGAGAGGAAAAGAAGTTGAATTTTTTGAGTTTGCTGTACAGTAAACTACATGCCAATTTGATGCTCTAATGGTTGTGTTTTAATACATTTTCTTAATGCTGTCTTAAGTGAAAACTTATTTTTCATCTGAAAAGCACGACACGTCTATTATTGTCTCCCCATTATCAATGACACAGCCCCACCCCACCCCATTATTGTCTAAACTAACGGAGCTCCATCTATTCTCTGCCGCCAGTGCTGCGAAGGTCCACCTGGTCAACCGGGAACTCCAGGAACGCCTGGAGTCCCAGGAACACCAGGGACATCTGCTTACTGCGGCTGTGGTCAGAGTGTTGCTGGAAATTCTCGACGATGGAAACAATGCACTTGGGTACATGACAATACAAAGGATGGCAGAGACAATGGACAAGTGCATGTAAGAAAATCATTTACTATTATGAAGAAAATCTTTTCCTTTAACTACGAAATGTAAGCATTAACCTTTTTTTCTGAAACGAAAATTAAGTTTATTTATAGAAATGGGGAATAAATTCTTCACACAGTGCATCACGATGCTTTACGAACGTTGAGTCAGCTTTGAGACGATTACGTTTTTAATCAGTGATGCTGCATCATTTTTATCGTCATGCATAAAACAAACAAACAAAACGAAACGAAAAGTGATGAATCCTAGAAAATCTTTGACAAATTCCCGTCTGGCTCATAATTCTTTGTGCTGAGGCTAGATGCTTATACAGGGTCAAATCAAGCCAATAAGGTTATCATTGAAGAAGTTGAGCCACCAGTAGGTTAAAAGGGAAATCTAAATTCTTCAAATATTGTAAAACTGCTCTCAAGTAAATCTAAGAGGATTCTAGATCGCAAGGGGTGTTAACTGATTTGCAACTGACCGAGTACTTTTTACTTTTTTTTTCCATTACAGTTGAATAGCAACCATGATTCGAGGTTTTATTTGAAATTTCTTTTCCGAAATCTTTTATTTTTGTAGTGTATGTTAACTTCAAATATGGAAGCTCATAGTTGTTAAAAGTAGCATTAAATTTGAGGGTGAAAGGTATTTAGTTTATTAAAGAGGAAAAGTTTTAGATTTTCTGTTGTACTGTTGTTCTTCAGAGCTGCCAATGGTCTCCCAGGGGACATGGCATGGCTGCCAGTAAAGAAAATTGTGTCTGTTAATTTCGGGGTTTACGCCTTAAGCTGGATCTAAAGTGTCTCAGTTTAAAGATGAAAAATCCTAAAGCTATGAAAAAAATTAACCATCAAAGTTACAGCGAAAGAAAAGAAAATATTTACATTAAAATTCAGTGGCATTTGGTCACCGCATAGCAGGTACTATGGAAACAACAGAAAAACATTCTTTATCAAAATATAACTGTCGCAAAATTCCTAAACTCAGGTATCGTCCTTAGACATTAAACAACAACAAAAAAGAAAATTAGTTTTGCGTATTTGTTCAGATAAAAATAGAAATCAGTCAAATAGTTAAAGAAATTGAAAATTTGAAAAGGAAATTAAGAGGAGGAAGTAATCTCACTACTACTTTTGAAATGTTGTCTCTTGTTATTGCCGGTACCTGTCGACTTACACGCTGCAAGGAGCACGTGTTCTATGTTGCCCATTCTTTAACTTACGTTTCATACTACAGAATTTCATCTTCCAGCGCTTTATTTTAGCTTAGCAATTTTACAATGCCTTTTCGAAAATGATACACAATGCATTCTCGTCGAAAGGCGTTTGTGTTGCAGACTATTATTCTTTTTCTGGCGGCCTTAAACTCTTCTGGACAGAGTCATTTTGACGATGTTCAAGGTCCGTGCGTTGTTCGAAGAACGAAGTTACCTCGACTGGATCCTGTTAAGGTATCAAAATGAGCACCAAATGAATAGCAGTGACACTTATAGAGTGGAATACCTAAGAATAGTATTTCCCACCCCATTTTTAAACTGATTATGAACTATGATTGCCCTGTACTAGGTTGGTTTTGTTCAACAAATCGAGCTCATTAAAGGAGAGCTACCTTTTACGGTAAAAACACTGAGTGTAAGGCCCCCTATTTTCGGTAAGTGTATCACACACATTTGAGTTCGAGTTGAGGACAAATCTAGTCGCGTCAAATTAGGAGACGTCGTGAAACATATTCCGCTGCCATTTAAATTCTAAATAAATTTATTTTTAAGGCCTAAGATTCATTGCATTAAGAGCTTTGCATAGAAATACATTTAAGACAAGCCTTTCCTAAGACATGATATATATTTAAATGCCTTTAGAAATCCCCGCTTTCTTGAATGAAGCCGAGATCAACAGAGTTCTTGCGATGGCCGAGCATGGGAGACTGGAGAACAGTGATGTGTTTCATCACTCAATGGACGACCTTCTGTCTCAGACCTCTTTCGATCACTGGGATCTCAACCGAGATGACTTAATAAATAGCGACGAGGTAAAAAATTTATTTGGAATGTTACCATAATCGTGGCTGTTGAATTAAGGTTTTAAATAGGGTCTCGCTGTTTCCTCTTACCTTGTAGTTTCACCAACTTTAATTTAGCCCTTAATTCTTCTTTTATTGAAGGTCATTGCTGGTATGCGTTACTTCTGGGATCTGCATTTCGCAACAGAGGATGTGAAGAAAATGTAAAAAAATTACGTATTTCTCTATTTTCACTTTACACTGTAATCCCTTTTAACTAAATTTTACAGATACTAACTAAACACTAACCGTGGGTCACTTTCGCAGGCTTACAACGTTGAATATTGGCAAGGTCAAATCTGGTGAGTCAAATGATTGAAAAGAAGCCTGACTTTAAGTGAACAAACCCTCGTTCCTAGGTCCCCTTGTCGTCTCACCTCAAATAAAAGGAAGACAAGCGGGGGAGGGGGGGGAGGGGAGACAGAGAGAGAGAGAGAGCCTGAGAAGGAGGTTGGATTGAACAATGACTTTCACTGATTAGTGCATTGAACGTGTAATTTTCTCAATCGAAACGGTTGAAGTTGTTATCATGGGTGATTTAAAAGGCGTGGTCACTTTGCTGAGTCTTTATTATTTAGATGATGCTTCATTCTGGTCGCAAATCTTTGAAGTCCTGATTTCTCGTCAGCATGGCCATTATGCTACGGCAAGATTGGTTACTCCTTTAGATCAAATTAAATGATAAAATTCATAAATTTCTCTCAGGATGGATTCATCGAAGTGAATTTGTACCAGCCGACATCATGAAATATATGAAGCAAGTAGGAAGTCTGGAACCAAAGGTCAAAGGTCGCCATAGCAACCAGACATACATTGAGTTCGCCGCAGATGACCCGATCTCGACAACACTTGATGTAAAGTAGGTCCAGTCACCACAGACCAATACCAATCGATGAAATGCTCCTTATGATATCAAACAGTGACTCAAAGCTTTGAATATTAAGATATTTGTAATCTCTTTTTCAGAAAGGCTGCTCTCACGGGCCTTCCAATTGAAATAATAAAAGGCAGTGAAACTCCTGTGGTAGGAACGATTTAATAATTTTTAACGGAATTTTTATGTTATAGACCGATGAGAGATGGAAGTTATTTATGTTTTTTCATTGCAGGCTGTACGATATGGCCCAGGAGGTCATTATCACTGCCATTATGACTCACATCCACTTCATGCCGAGGCTACGTGCTGTCATCGAAGATCATTAGATAAATGTCGTATCTGCAGGTCAGTTGGTCGACGATGTTTATGAACGTTTTGATCTCCGAGCGTTTCTTGCCTTATTTCATTTCCAGGCTCTTGAACGCTTTCTAAACTTCAAGCCAAGCATCCACTGCATTCCCCCGCTCTTTTTACTCTTTAAATTGCAATTATACAAGAGTAATAATAATAACAATACCTTTCCTGTAAAGCTACAGTTCATTCCTTAACCAGGTACATAACAATTCTCTACTTTCTCAACGATGTGGCGGGAGGAGGACAAACCGCTTTTCCAATTGCCGATAGTGACACATTCAACCAACAGGTTAGTATGATATAATTTGGATATATCAACAAAGTTGAAATGGTAAATTGGCCACCGTAACGATTACAAAAGCTGACGTTTCGAGCGTTAGCCCTTCGTCGGAACCAAGGGCGAAGGGCTAACGCTCGAAATGAAGGGCTAACGCTCGAAACGTCAGCTTTTGTAATCGTTACGGTGGCCAATTTACCATTTCAACTTTGTTGATATATCCAAATTATTTCGTTACTCCCACCGACGCAGCCCCAAACAGTTTCTTTCGAAACTATTAGCCTTTATCAGTTAGTATGATAACCTATTATGTGATTGGCCGAAAAAGGGTTAATTCTTCCTAAGTTTTTTCATCGCAAATTATGCCCAAAAAAATCATTGTAATTTTTTCGTAATGGATGGAGCTCAAAATTAAGGGAAATCCTTATTCTTTCGAAAACAAGTACGACGACTTATTACTACCGAAACTCTCGTCTGAATTTTAAGATTTGACTAATTCACACTGTTATCGTCAAGTTAAAATTTCGGCTAAATCATTAGTCTTGAGGCTGGGTATCAGGTAGGCTAGGTCACTGATACCGTCTTTAAAGGACTCCCAGTTCTGTTAACTATGAGAAATATGGTTTTCTTAATTGTCCATTTCCCCTATTCTTTAATCAGACATGGATGAGGAAATCAAACTACCTTTCCAATCTAAGCGCCTACTGCTCTAAAGCCAATCTAAGGGTGACACCAAAACGAGGCACTGCGATCATGTGGTATAATCACGTGACTGATAAAACATCTGGTTGGATTTCAAGCCTCGATCTCAGATCATATCACGGAGGATGCGACGTCCTAGGGGGCCACAAGTGGATTGTAAATAATTGGATAAATATCATTGGTAGAAACTGGGATGATCTAAGGACTTGGAATGACAAGAATTCGATAGTAAAATGAAGGAATAAAGGGCCTGTTAGTTAAACAAGGCGTGGCCGTTGTTTAATGAAAATGCATTCCAAGCCATCTTCAATAAACGTTCAATTAATTGGAACCCTTTATCTAAACATTCATGCTTGTGAACAGTGTGAAAAGGGCCGAAAGTTAATGGAAGGGCATTTCTTTAATTGAATCAACCCACTTATAGAGAATCCACGAGTCCCGCTGCTTGCGTCAAAACCGTGGTTTGAATTAGACCTCTCGTAAATAGCCGGCCCGAAGAGTTTGCCAAAAACAGATCTTTATCTAATGAGTGCAAAATCGTATAAATTTGACGAAAGGTAGATTTTCACTTGTCGTTGTCTGCAGGTCTAGCATACCTGAATGGGAAAAAAGTGGTTTCAAATTAAACATAAAAATCTCTTCGGTGTAATCTTTTTTTTAATTATTATTATTGCGAGATAACTATCAGGGCTCGAAATTAACGGTAAACCGTTAACCAATGGTTAGTAATTTTCACCGTTTGGTTACCAAAAATGTGTCCCAACTAACCCGACATGGTTAGTAAAATTTCTTGACATATTTAAACATTGGTAGACCTCAGGACAAAGAGCACGTAGACCCGACTCTCAGAGGAATACTTAGAATACTCAAGTTGTTTAATCAACTTAAACTCTTTTTAGAGAATGTGCTGTAGATGTACTGTCCTTGACTATTGATGGTAAACGAAAGGGAAATAAAATAGTTGTATAATTGTCAACGTTTTTAAGGTCACCATGCAATTTCAGCTACTCTTTAATTTGCCCTAGTCGTTATGATCAAAATGTTCCATATTTGAGATATCGTAACTTGTGAGCTTGGATACCAAACTTTATAATTTGGTTAGTAAAAAATATGGCTACTACCCCGAAGGGTTAGTGATCCAAAAATTAAACTCGAGCCCTGCTAAGAGATATTTTCTCCACCCATGATTTAACTTCTTGAATATTAGTCGTTAGGTTGATATAATTTTATATGAACTCACAAAGACAGCTTTCCAATCTTATCTGTAGGTTTTCTTACAAGAACAGCCATACGGCCATATGGAATCTATTTGATTTTGTTGGCGAGTATCGGAGCCAATAAGATTGCAGCACTTGCGATGGAGCACCGATTGATATATATCAAACCTGATATTATGCCAAACTGATTGATTATTACGCTGAAGATGTATGGATAGATAAAGGTGTTTTTATATTCATTGTATTCATTTTGAAATTACTGATGATCCTTTCAATCTGATTGACTCTAATTGGTGCGACTTATTCACAAATCGCACCATCTATTGCTCTAAATAGCATATTTTCCCCAGCAAGTGAAAAAGCTTGAAGGTGTTTAGTTATTAATTTGTTCATTACTTTTATCGTACGATCACGTTTTGTTCCCGATAGGATAATTTCACTTTCCTCTTGTTAGTACCCCAGATTATTGCAGAATTTCTAACGATAAAGATGCTGACTATCACAAAAAGAACCATTGGACCTAAATATAGTGAACGTTCTTATCTATTCCTTTCAGTCATTCTTTTGTCCTAGGAGCAGTCGTTGGTGTGCTCAAGTTCACTTTTCGCTTTCTTTGCAACTTAGCACTGAAAACATAACACCATTTTCATTGAGCCGATCAATCAATGATGTTCCAGTGAAAGCTGCAGCAGGAGTAAGTACACCTCCACTAAAAAAGAAAAATGAACACAGTGTAAATCAATTGAAGCTGTTGTCCTCGAGATAAATCGTAATTTTTCAGTCAAAATACACTATATAGACACCTGTTTGGCAAAGTCTCTTCCAGGATCACCATCGCAGCCTGTACCATGCAGATAGGAGTGGCAACATAACCCGCCTCTGACGAGATAAAAAAACAGGCATGTTACAGCATACAACACATTGCACCGTGAACATGCCCTGAACTTTAGTTACTCTGATTGTTTAAATAGTTCTATATTGCTCGCAATAACGACCTGTTAATGGCCTTATTGCAAGAACTGGGGCAAACTTGAAATACATAGCTCTGCGTATCTCTTTTTTCCTCTTGAAATTTGTCCTTTTCAGTTACGAGGCTGTAACTGAACTATTTTGGTAATTGAAAGACCTAGATGTGTGTTCTAGGTGCGTGAACCAACCTCTTTAAGCTCAAGCAGAGTATATGGTTGTTGAAAAA